ATGATTCTGATTTTACAAAATGCTGCTACGGCAACACGGATTTATGCGGATCGGTTTCCCAATCGAGTGCAACCAACCCCTAGTGCCTTTGTTAATGTAGTACAAAGGGCTCGTGAATCAGGTGATTTAAGTCCTCACACGGGAGGGTATGTGCTCCAAGACCGCACGATCAAATACAGGTCCGCACTGAAATACTTGTCGGGAGGATATTTTATAAAACAAGGTAACATTTTTTTTTAATTTTTTTTTAATTTTTACACACATATTTTGGTTTATCTTCCTTCTACAATCATTATCTGAAAATTAATGACTCAACTTCAAAGTCACCCTGTATAAGTGGGGGGATATCGACAAATGATGCTTTTGACTTACAAATACTCAAGCTTTAGACAGACTATCCTGCCATCATCAGGAGCTAAAAACAAATTAAAGATACGAAATAGCAACCATGCTCAATTGATTAGAAATCTTTTTACTTACTCCGTCAGTGAGATTGGTGCTATTATTGGATGTTGTAACTGGATTTACGCGGATCCTTTTTGGAAAACGATGCAAAACATGGCTCTGTTTTACTGATACAATACAGACGGATTGGAACAAACGTTATTAATTAAATGAATTTTAAAACTACTCAAAGTCAATATTGAAAAAAAAAACAATGGCGAACTATTTTTATTTGGAAAAATAATGCCACACGTCTGTATCTCCGCCACGGGTGCACGTTAATTTTAAGTAAATACTTTTGAATGTGGACAATACTTAGGTAAATCCACATACCACATTTTAGTTCATTCCAGTTGACGGTTCTGAAGACCAAAGGCTAAAGACAGGAGTATTTTTTGACCGAATGCTTCGATCGGGCCCTAAATATCACATTGCATGATAAATACTGACGTATAACAGTACATACTGATCTCGTGACGTCACCCTGAGTCAGGTGGTGAGTGCTAGTCAACGCAGCCAATTTTTTTTTATACCGAAGCAGCCGTGCAGGCCGAATCCTAAATGCCAGGAGACCGCGGCTGCTATGAGGATATCAAAGAAACTTAGTTAATCTGATTTTTGAACTGCCTAAGGTTAGTGAAACTGGGAAAAGCATGCTCTTGTAGATATTTCCACAAATCAGGCGGGTCCGACTTGCAGACACATCCCTTGCCGGCATCAGGGAGGAGAGCCCGGTGGAGCAAAGCCCGTTGGCGTAGCGGTAGAAGAGAGCTGGATCGCCGACAGCCCGCCGGTGCGAAAGGGTACCGAGGATGTTCGTTAGAGAAGAGTCATCGATAAGTCGGATATCCCTCTGAACAGCATCGAGCATGGATAATGCAGTCGGGGTGGCAGCACCCCAAACATGTGAGCAGTACTCGAGTCTATGTCTTATCTGGGCCATGTACAGAGTTTTTTATGCCGAAGCCGCGCAGGCAGAAGCTTAAATGCCGGGACACCGCGGCTGCTATGATGATCCCAAACAAATTTTGTTAATACGATTTTTGAGCTGCTTAAGGTTAGTGGAACTGGGAAAAGCTTCCTCTTGTAGATTGTTCCACAATCTCGAAACCCTCGGGACAAAGGAGCGGTCGTATCGGCTAGTTCTGGATGTATGAAGCTCGATACGGTTAGGATGGATGCCAAAGTCAGGCGTGTCTGTCTGGTATGCACATCGCGCGGCGGCATCATGGAATAGAGCAAGCCCGTTGGTGTAGCGATAGAAAAAAGCTAGATCGCCGACGGCCCACCGGTGCGAAAAGGTATCGAGACTGCCTGTTAGAGGTTAGGCTTTATCTGGGCCTTGTATAGGGTGAGATGGTCTTGTGGAGAAAACTACTTCTAAGCTTTAAACAAATAGCCTAGCTTTTTCCCAGCAGCTACCGCTATTGACGCGATGTGTTCGTGCCAGATTAGGTCCTCGGTGATCTGGACCCCGACCAGCCGAAATGAATGGCTCTTTGGCAGAACTCGCCCATCCATCGAAACTGGATGACCGCTAGGGCGCTTTTTGTTCGTCAAAGTACAGTACTGTGTTTTGGAAGCATTAAACTGTACAAGATTGTTGCGTCCTCAAGCAGTGATAACCTCCAGGTCTCTCGCCAGAGAGGAAGTCGTCGCTAGTCTTGCTCAGCGGCAGAGATCGGCTTGTCACTCTGAATTCCTGCATGTAGAGTGCTGTCATCGGCGAAGCTGTGGATTTGGTTGACCGTACAGGAAAAGAGGTCATTGATCTGTAAGAGGAACAGTTTCGGAGCCAAGACCGATCCCTGGAGAGCACCCGCGTTAACATGTGGGATGAAGAGGAAAACCCGCCAATTACGACGGATATCTTGCGGCCAGAGATTAAAGTCAGCCACAGAGCAGCGTGCCACAGCTGATCGAACGCTTTCGTGATGTCAAGAGCAACGACATGAGCCTCACCATATGACTGGATGAGTTTACTCCACAATTGCGTGACGTAAGCTAGGAGGTCCCCTGTGGATCGTTTGTGCCGGAAACCAGAAGCTCGCGATTTATGCACCTCTCCATCACCTTACTTATAACAGAAAGCAGAGATATAAGCCTGTAGTTGTAAGGGTCGGTCTTAGATCCTTTTTTAGGGATAGGTTGGATAGCAAATTTCCAGTTTTCTGGGAAGGTGCCAGATTCATAAGACATCTCGAAGAGACGCGAAAGAACTGGGGCAAGCTTCTCTGCATACCTCTTCAGTACAATGGCAGGAATCAAGTCCGGACCAGAAGCTTTGTTGATGTCGAGCGCCAAGGGCACTCGTCTTATAGTCTTATACCTGAATGTTACCTCCCGCATAGTGTAGAGAACCCTTTGAATTGACGGCACTTGGGCGTTGGGGACTCGTAAGTGGTGGAAGCCTTCGGTGTGAGAAGTTCTTTTCAATCTAGTTGGACATTATCCTGAGCCTAACTTTCATATCATGCTGGTTTTTGGCATTGCAACCGCTTCGTTATATTTGTTTCTGGACTCGACGCCGGCTTGTCTGTTCTCTACAGTGGGGTTTTGTAAGAAGGTTCTGTGTGCCTTGATCTTCTGCTGGCGAGCAGTGTCACACGATTTGTTAAACCAGCCGTTGGACCCTGGTTTAGGCACTTTCACTGTGTGAGGGATGTATTCCTCCATTCCGACGTGGATGATTTCGGTTACCGAAGAACAGACAGCCGACGCATACGCGTCAGTGAAACAAACATCTCTCCAAGGAAAGGTAGAGAAGAAGTCGATATGTTCGTAATGCCAAGTTTTGCGGCCTGTACGAGTTTGTGCAGCCACAGCGGGTTCTGACCGAAACCTAAACTCCACAACACCGTGGTCTGAGTTACCCAGGGGGAACAGGACAGCAGTGCTGTAAGAGACAGGATGCGTTGTTAGAAACAGATCCAGCATTCTACTTGCATGTGCCGAGACGCGAGTGAAAAAAGTAGGACTCGTCACCAGCTGGGTCAGTCCTTCAGTAAGAGCGAACGCTTCGACTGCACGACCGGCTGCATCGGTCTTGTTTGAGCCCAACCAAAGCTAATTATGGGCATTGAAAACACCGAGAAGAACTACCTCTGAAGCGGGGTGATTGATGTTCAGGAAGTCGATCTTGACGACGAGGTATTCAAGTAGGTCATCTCAGGGAGAGCGATAAAGGCAGCAAATAAATTTGGGTGATGTTTTGCAGTTGAGGCGAAGTCACAGAATGTCCTTCCGGTCTGATTCCAAAGAAACATCTCTGGAGCAGGAAAGACTGCTGCTGACAAAAGCCAGAACTCCCCCGTTCATTCTCAGATTGGAGTGCATCTCGTAATTTGGGAAGTTAAGGTGGTTAATCGGTGCAGACACTGAGATTTTTGTCTCCGTCAAGTAAAACATAGCGCTTTGATTGGATTGCAGGTAGTGATGAACAGCATCAATGTTGCTGTTAATCCCGCAGATGTTCGTAAAACAAATTTCATCTTCGATGTTATTCCCTCGAGCCCCCACCCTCCTCCTGGACATTCCGAGAGTGGAGTGAGTTTACGCCCGGAAAAGAGGGTGAGGAGCACGGCCACTATTGAAGAGATACGCCCGTGCCAGATCAAGTCCTTGGTGATCTAGACCCCGACTAGCCGAAATGAACGACTTTTTGGTAGAGCTCGGCCATCCATCCATGCCGAGCGCTAGGACGCTTCTTGTTCGACAAGCTACAGTACTGTGTTTTGGAAGCTTTAAACTGTACCAGATTGTTTCGTCCCAAAGCAGTGATAAACTGCAGGCCTCTCGTCTTTTTTCTCCAGCTCACCAGCACCGATCGGTTTATCATTCTGAATTCCTGAATGTAGAGTGGTGTTATCAGCAAAGCTGTGGATTGGAATGACCGTACAGAAAAGAAGGTCGTTGATATCTAAGAGGAACAATGTCGGAGCCAAGACCGATTCTTGAGGAATACCCACGTTGACGTTGTTGGATGAAGAGGAGAACCCGTCAATTACGACGGATATCTTGCGTCCAGAGAGGAAGTCAGCCACCCATCTACAAAGCTTCTCGGGGGAGCGACAGGATGGAAGTTTGCATAAGAGGGCAGCGTGCCATAGCTGATCGAAGGCATCCGTGACATCAAGAGCAACGACATGAGCCTCACCATAAAACTGGATGAGTTTACTTCAGAATTGCATGACATAAGCTAGGAGGTCCCCGGTTGATCGCTGGTGCTACCAAAGCGAATGATAAGAAAATTGATATCAGCTTTACCTTCAGAAACGCTTTCAAAATACGCAATTTTATTGCATCTATCACATCAAAGTTATAAGGTCTTACAGGATTTTTTCAATCACAACATTGATAAGAATGCTCAAGTTTAGTAAGTACTAGACAGTTACCAATCTTCTTTACCAAAAAAAAAGCTGAAGAGCAGTCTGCACCATGAGTAGTTAACATAATATTGTTTTTTTAATTCTCGTCTAGCCAGTAGATAGTAGAAGATGCGATGGACAAGGGTGAGAACCTGTTAACATAAAAATCAAATACACGCCTGAACTAACCTGCCGGAGGTGGTAGAATTTTGTATCCTGGTGGAAACATTGCATCTAACTCTTCATCAGATAATGGTCTGTTCCTTTCATCGATCTCTCTTTCCCATCTGTAAGCTTGTAGCTGTTCTGGAGTCATGGATGCCAAATGGCCTGGCGTAGGCGTTGCCATTGCCATAGCCTTTACTCCCACCTGAAATAACAGAAAAAAAAAATGTGACACAGAAAGCGAAAAGAATCGTTTACAAAGGAGCCGAGCTCTAAGAAACTAACAAGAGTTGATATATTTATTTTAATCTTTTATTAACCAATGAATGAATTGATGAAGTTTGGGTTGAACCTTTAATCGATTACAAAGTCTACTTACGGGTGTTGAACCCCCAGGAGTAAGCATCGGAGTTATTCCGCCATGTGAAGGAGTACCCCCAACTCCATGTGGCGTTTGAGGAGTGGCACCAGGTTGTGGCGTCATCGCGCCTGGAGTAGGTGTTGCTGCACCTGCAGCGCCTACTGTCGAGGGTGTTTCGTCCCATCTGTAGAAAATGATCAGGTGTTAGAATAACTTGACAACAAAAGTGATATAAGGAGTAAGGAGTGATTCATTTGCAGGTACTTTTTTCAAAAGCACAGAAAAAACAACGAACTGCAATCTTTATTATCATCAAACAAAACAAGTACATTGTTATGGCATTCGTTTTTGCAATTTTTTTCCAAATGTTGCTGTTAACATAGAACACTTGGAATTGAAATTTTCGACTGGACGTCTGTGAATTTCGAGTGAATAACAAGAGTAATGTAGACGTAGCCCCAAAATAAAAACTCCAGAGGTGTAAGATCATAGGATCTAGGTTGCCAATGTATCGATTCGAAAAAAGAAGTTAGCTTCTCGTCGAGTAAATAACATGTTATTATGGTGCAATAGTGGTCGCCAAATACCACTCAAAATGCTTAAACGCGTAATCGAAGATTTTAATTCCAGCACTCACCATACTAACAGCAAACATTTGAAAGAAATAATCCTCAAAAACCGAAGTAAAGATAAGACAATAGAGGTCGAGAATATTCATATTTTTTATTTTGAACAATGTACCTATAAAATAAATCATCCATTAAACGTCCAGGCTCATCGAGTCGAACGACGCGAGGGAAACCGCGGCGACATTTGTCATTTGCACGCGTCAATAGTAAACAGTAGCGTACCATCAACATCTGCCAAAAGCTACAGTAGCTGATATTAAAAAAAATAAGGAGAAAATTCTGGCATTTCTCCTTGAAAATGATGTTGGTCCTTCCAGGAGAAAAACGTTAAACCTCAGTTCAAATCCTAAGGTTGAAGGGGCTTTATTTGCATGGTTTTGCCAGGAAAGAACAAAAGGAAAGTTCTATTACATCCTATACAGGGTTTTACTTAATAATATGTCATATGGCAAATTTTATCGTAAAAATACCGTTTGAAAGAAATCATTATAAAAAGCAAAGATATGGAGGGGGCAGAACGGGCTTGGACGACCATGTAATATTAATAACACTGCATATATTTTGGAATAAAGAAAGTATACACACCCATAGATATGCATAATTTAATAATATAGTCAACATCTACAGCAAAACAAGGCAAATGTTTGTTATTCGCTTATCTTTTAAAAATCACTTGAAATAAAAAGAGACAATAAAAAGGAGCGTGAATGAAGTCTCCACAAGGAGTATCTAAAGTATTTTCCTCGCCGCGCATCTTAAAGGCTGTTCTACCTTTACGAAAAAAAGGTTTTACTTTACTATATGTTCATAGCTGCATCTTGAAAAGTTGTTAAAATAAATCAAGTTAGCTTTGCTCGTTGCCAGCAATTTTTTTTGTTGTAAACATTATAATTTTTGAGTCTTTGAAAAATGGAAAAAAACTGAAAATAAAATAAAACTTTAGCACTATGTATCTTAAAAATCAAGCAATTTAGGTCCCATTTTCTATGAACTGTTTGATTTACAATCGGTCCAGAAATGCCACCTTAAAACTATGACATACCATTAAGTAATACCCTGTATATTATGGCCATGCACACCATGACTAATAATTTTCTGATCTTTCATTTCATAACTTTTTACTCTCTTTCTAGGTACGCCAATTTCTGGGGAAATTCTGCGTGAAAAAGTTAAGTTTTTCTACAAATAAATAGCAATAAAAGGAAGATTTTAAGGCAAGTTCAGGATGGCTTGAAAAATTCAAGATAAGACTTGGTATTCGTCAGTTAACAGTTTGTGGAGAATCATTATCCAGAGACTATGATGCAGTATTGCCATTTGTCGAAAAGCTGGCACGTATAATGAAATAAAAAAACTTGACTTATCATCAAGTGTATAATGCCGATGAAAGCGGACTTTTCTGGAGAGTGCTTCCAAACAAAACTTTAGCTCACTCAAAAGTAAAATCTGCACCAGGGCTAAAAGTAATCAAAGAAAGAATTACTTTTAAGCCTTGTTGCAATGTTTCAGGATCCCACAAATTAAAATTATTCGTCCTAGGTAAAAGTAACAAGCCCCTTGCTTTTAGAAATGCTCAGCTTCTTGTTTTGTACACAGGTCAACCAAAGATATTTTTACTGAGTGGTTCCACACAGAGTTTGTATCAGCAGTAAGGCGAAAAATGAAAGAGCTTAACCTTTAGTCCGGAGGCACACTCCTGAGTTTGTATCAGCAGTAAGGCGAAAAATGAAAGAGCTTAACCTCAGTCCGGAGGCAATTTTTCTTTTGGATAATGCAACTGGACATCCTCTTGATTTGGCCAGCAACGATAATAAAATTTCGGTACTTTTCCTTCCCCCAAATTGCACTCCACTGATTCAGCCGATGGATCAACACTTTATACAGGCTATAAAGTTATTCTATCGGAAAAAATTGTTTGAAAAAATCGTCGAGTCATTGAAGGATGTGAACTTAAGACATGTTGTTTTCTCATTAGACGAAGCCTGGAACCATGTGGGCACTGACTTAATTACCAAGTCATGGAGTAAAATAATATTACCAACCGATATACCCCAAGGAAATGTTTATGACAGTGATGAAGAAGACATTCCACTAGCTAGGTTAACAAGACGAATCGCAGAGCCAGAACCTAAAGAAATTGAAAATAAACTGGAAGAAATCATGGATTTGGGTAAGAAACTGGATGAGAACTTAACAAATGAAGAAATCGAAGAGTGGTTAGGGCATGATAAAGCAATCAGTGATAACCTAACTAAAGCTGATATAATTCAGGAGATCGAAGACTCTGGATCTGACAGTGATTTGGACGATGATTCAGTGGATATGCCTAGGTTAGTAAAACCTGATGATGCAGTATCAGCGTTTAATATTTGTATTGCTTGGACAAAACAAAATAATGTTCCTGAACATCGAATGGTCTTCTTGCAGGAATTACGTATTCAAGCTCAAGATGCCGCAATAAAAAATAAAATGCGATCCAAAATAACACATTTTTTTAAAGCTTCAGATAAGTAATAGTTTTGTTGATTTGATAATTTAAAATTAGATTACCTATAGATATGTTTTTTTAGGTTCTAAGTAATAAAACACTTCGCCTCACAAAACTCGTTCTTTTTAAATGAAAACCTACAACTTTAAAATTTTGTCGTACTAAGGATACAAAATAAAGGTGAGTTTGTATAAGCATATTTATCCCAAGAATTGTAGCAATGCTATTTCTGCTTTTCATGATTGCGATCAACAAAGATTAGAAATAAAATACACAACGACAATTAAATAACCATGGTAACCACTATTTGACAAGAACCGCTCTTCAAACTTCCCTTCTCACTAAATAAAATGTCACTTTTAGCACTTATATACATAATAAATAACAATGTATTTTATGTTTCTGTTATTAGATAAAGTTTGTATGTTTTTACTCTTATTAACATCCTGTTATAATTGTAGATTGTACACTTATAAATAAAAATGTACATGTGTACACTTGTAAATGTACCTAATATGCATTTTAACACATATTCGTTACTGCGAACATTTCGATAATCCGAATGCGGACTGGCAGCGGGGTGTTCGGATTAAAGAGGTTGCACTGTATAATGTAAGTTGCTGCGAAGCGTACAATTTCGTCAGACAGTATTGCCCGACTTTGTAGTCCGTCAGATGGCAAATTCGGACAAGTGTAGTGTCACATATTGTCGGCAATATGTCCAATATTATATATTACAGCCAAATATTGGAACAAAAATATTGCTTGTTTGGAGTCTCAAATATTACGATAACATGGTTTAGATCCCTACTCAATATGGTAGCTACCTTATTGCATAAAGTGTTCAAAAGTTTATGTAAAAGTCCACACTATGATAGATTAAAATACTCATTACAAATACCGTATGAGGAGGCATTCACCGAAAAAATTGTTCAAATCAGACAATTGATTCCAACAAAACTTAATTTTAAGCTTTTAGTTATTTTTTGGTGATGCATTAATACGAGTACATCAGTTAAGAGGGTGAAACGGATCTTACAACTTAAATATATGTTAGTGCTTTTGTTCACCATTAACAGCTGAAATAAAACCAATTCAAATAACTCTCGAGTATTAGGCCGAATAGCCGGTACACAGTTTTCAAATCTGACCAGACACAGGCTTTATGAAAAAAGTAGTGCTTGGTGCAACCTTTACGAGACAAGATTTAACATTTAATATAGAAATAATATACTTATCCTATAGATAGATGCATAGGTTAACAGGCGGGGTAATCTGCATAACAGTTATAATGAAAAAATTATGGACCCTAAATACTCTGTTCTAGGTCTTTTTACCTGGATCGCCGTTTGGATGCACCAGGCGTTGGTGTTTCCTGAATGAGATCCGGACCTCCAGCAGTTCGATCTGTGCGAGGTGTTTCTGCCCAACCGCTAGAATGACCTGGAGTTTCACGATCTGTTTTTGGAGTTTCGTCCCACCTACAATGAAGAAAATTAGAAATACAAGTTAGTTTATAATGTATCCATGTACATTCGAGTTCCAGAATGCCTACCTATTCCTTCTGGAACTTTTCTCAGAAGTGCTGCCTGCATGACCGGGTGTTTCTCTTCCAGGTGTTGCAGCCCCTGGAGTGGCGTCCCACTGTCTAGTAGATTGACCTGGGGTAGCACCAGGTGTCTCGCTACCCATGCCAGAATGTCCAGGGGTTTCGTCCCAGCGAATGTTTGCGGGAGTTTTCTGAAATTGCAGATGCAAATAAAAAAAGCAATTCTTTTAAAGAACATAATTATTATTGCGGGCATTATTGTTAAACATACAGAATTGTTTAAAAAAGTTCAAAACTCAAATTTCACAAAACAAAACTGAAACAGAGACGAAGAAAGGTGGAAATAGAATTTTAAGAAATTCAAAAGTACAAGTCTTTACTCGATGACAATTTGAATAATAGAGTGACCGACCTAACATTTTGGCTTGGCAGAAACATAACTTCTTGATACGTGAACTATCGGATTACGTCCGGCTGTACTCGGACGTTTGTCTACTACATATTACGATTGCATTTTGTGAAGTAAAATAGATTTTTCACTATCGATCTGAGAAAATATTATTACTAACCACAATGAGCCATTGAAAAGTAGTTTTCCCTCCTTAGGATAATAATGATAAATAGAAACACCCAGGTGAGTAAACCTTATGAAATATTTGAATACGGATAAGTACCCCGTAAAAATACCTCTTCAATCTGGATAATATTTGAAAACTGTTTTTAATCTCAACAGGCAGGTATTCCAGATCATTTATGGAATAAGTAGCAAACGTCATGACCCCCAATTTAGGTTTATGTTATAGTAAATATAATGCTAATCAAAGGGTACATCTAAACTAAGTGTAGTGTAGTCAGAAAGGCGTGAAAATATTTATGGGGTAGAAAGTACAACCAAAAACAACAAAAAAAGTTCCTATAAATATGGGGCCAAAGATGCTCCCCTGCCGAGATACAGGGTGATAAAGTTTTGTTTACGAAATTTTGTTATATACAGGGTGGTCCATCAATGTGTGGACGGAATATTATACATAAACAAATACATTTTGATAAAATATTTATAGCATGTAGGGTACATTTCTATAATATTGGCAATTATACAGGGTGTCCCAATTTTGACCTACATATCAAAGCTGTGAATTTTTAAATAGAATGCCTCAAATTTTATTGCATATTTGGGCAAACCAATTCAAAAGAAGAAGATTGATATAACATACTATGGGGTTTTGGTAATTAGCTAGTGAGATGTAAGGTGTTTTGTCCAGAAAAACTGTCCACTTCCGCAACCCCTCAATCCGCCATTTTGAAATTTGGAGTGCTGAATTTTGTATCAAAAAAAACTTACACACCTCAGCTTTTATCTTATTTGTTACTTTTTCGAATTTTCATTTTTGCTCATACAGGGTGGTTAAAAACGCGAATTGTACTTTTTCTCAAAAATTTCAAATGCATCACCCTGTATATTTGTGCAAGTTTGGATTCAATTTTTTATAAGCATTTTTTGGTATGAGGTTTGACTCAGATAAAATCACTGGATTTTGAGTTATTAAGCTTTTAATAGAACAACACACTAAAATTAAGGAAGAAAATCACATCATCCATGGAAACAAAAGACAAACAGTGGGCTAGTTCCGTATTGCCACTACGAGTACAGATTTGACGTAAAAACTGATAACAATAAGAATAGTATAAATCAGCTTCAAGCGTAATAGAGAAAAACAAGTATAACAACAACATAAACAAACAACTATCACTACTCAAGAGGTAATCTACAGAAACTGCTCGAAAATATCTCCACCATGTTGAATACACAGCCGTAGTCTTTGGATAAATGACCGTTGCACATCCCTCAACATGTGTTCCCTTATGTTCAGAAAAGCATCCTTAATCCTTTCCTTCATATTTTCCGGGGTAGATGGTGGATATCTATAAACCTCTTGCTCAACGTAGCCCCATAGAAAGAAGTCCATCGGTGTCATATCTGGTGATCTAGGAGGCCAAGATATAGGCCCATCACGACCGATCCAACGATTGTTACTCTAGGTGTCCAAATAGTTACGCACACGATTATGATAATGCGCAGGTGCGCCGTCGTGTTGGAAGTACATATGCATCCGGGTTTACAGGTTGACATCCTCCAAAAGCAAAGGCAAATGCTCGATCAAAAAATTCAAGTATTTTGTACCTGTTAATCTGTTGTCGAAAAAGAAAGGCCCGATAACTTGTCTGCCAATAACTACTCCCCAAACATTGAAGTTTCATTTATTTTGGAAATCTATTTGCCTAACCCAATAAGGCCTTTCCGTCGCATAATAGTGCATGTTATGCCTGTTGACAACACCTATGCTGTTAAAAGTTGCCTCATCGCTAAAAAGAACCTTATCCAGGAAAGTAGTGTCTTCACCCACTTAATTTAGCATTATTCTACTAAACTCCATTCAAGCTGCGAAATCCTAGGGGATATGGATGGTACCTATACTTGTGAATAATCCTTTGGACAGAAGTTCTGCATATATCAGTTTCTGCTCCAATTTGCCGTGCACTTAAATGGGGATTTTCCTGCAACTTTAATAGAACCTCCAACTGATTTTTTTTGCTATATTCCACTGCTCCACTTGATTCAAAACGTTCTCGTAGTATGGAAAATGTTTCCGGCCTTGGATGTCGCATATTCGGGTACCGCTGCTTATAAATGCGAGATGCTAGGAAACTATTTCTTTGGGCTTCGCCCAAAACGAACACCATATTCACCATTTCTTCTTTAGAAAAATTCATTTTCATACACGTTTTTATTATAATGCTCACAAAACTAATTTTGACAGTTTGTAACTAATCAACAATTTATTTGTTTCCAAGGATGATGCGATATTTTAGGGAATTAAGCCGTTCCATAACCGAAAAAATAGCCGAAAAAACCCTTATGTGTCTAGTATAAAAAAAAAGCTTATAAAAATTGAATCCAAACTTGCACAAATATACAGGGTGATGCATTTGAAAATTTTGAGAAAAACTACAATTTGCGTTTTTGATCAAAATGAGCAAAAATTAAAATTCGAAAAAGTAACAAATAATATAAGACATATTTTTGTATTTATGATCATTTAAGGCAAAGAGGACTCAATTCTTGAAATTAGGGAAAGAATAACAGAGAAAGTGGGCGAGGTTCTCTTACATTTTGGAAAACTGTATTCTTGAACGCTAATAGAATAGGCTCTCTCCGAATTATTCTCTCGAGAAAAGGAGCGAGCGGCTCGCCATCGTTCACCAATCCCACCTGTATAGACAGAGTCAACGCTCACTGATATGAAGAAGATAGGAAAATGAATGCATTCACACCTTGTAGCTGTCATATTTTGATGTCATTCCTAAAGAAGAGAACCACGCCCACTTTCTCTCAGCAATTCGATTCTTCCGTTTTCAAGAATAGGGGTCCAGGACTTCACCACGTAGGGGTATTAAATGAAAAGTTAATACTTCTGTTGGATTTTAAGGCTTTTGGTCATGTTGAATATAAAGCGCATTGCGGATGGGCAAACCACCACCTCAGTGGTCGATTCAAAAAGACACTTCGCTGTAACATTGAATCACTACCAAGTGCGATCGTGGGAGCACAGGCAAGGATCGAAGGCTTATCTGTCGATCCGGAGGAATCTCGTTTCTCGACCATGAACGTCCTCAATCCAAAATTTCTGACCGATAGTTGAGTATAGCCCTGTTCGCTATTCCAAATTTTACGTGAAAAATTGCAAACGTAACTATTAGATGATTATTAATTTTTCCTGAGGTGGAGTCTGTGCCCTTCTATTTCGTGCGCTTTCCTTAAGACGCGGGTGGGGTTTCTTCTTTAATTGACTTTGTTGTAAGAACATTCAGATCGTTATTAGTATAGGATAGTCTGAAAATAACGGGAAGTGAACAGCAACAGCAGATGCGCAGCTTATGAAGTTATCCAGCTGTGATCCGACTAGGCTGCATTTCTGTGCAACTAATCGCAGCAGTGTGTGCTAAAGTTAGAGCTGGCAACACCATCCGGGTACAAACTGACTCAAGAAAAGTGATTCGCGGAGTCCAATGAACTAAAAATAGTATCATAATACACATTTGGATATATTGAAACACGTTATGTATTGGTACCAAGTTGACCTCGGCGTGGAATACAGTGAAACCTCTCATAAGCGGAAAGCTATGGTTCCAGCTTTTGTGTCCGCTTATTGCAGGTGACCGCTTAAAAGAAAACAAATATAGGAATTGCACAGTTTTTTATTTATAAGTAACATGATAACATATATGTATGTACATACATACTATTACATATATGAATTTATAAAGTGTATGATAATTACATAAATTAAATTTAGTCTTATTATAAGACATGTATGTACACATTGTACATAAAATTATAATTACATATAATGTATGTATAATGAAATACGCACATACATAAGTATTGATGACATGCGAAAACAATTTTTTTAAATAACAACAAAAGGACAGAAAACTTATTTAGAAACAGTTTGAAAAAATGTTAGAATAGTCGCCTGCTTAAGTTTTTGTTGCTTTGCATAGTGGTCTTTTGAGAAGTTTTTCAGTCCTTTTACATAAACTAAGGCTTCATCATAGCTTTTTTCTTTATTTTCCTCTTCTTAAATCTCCTCAATTTCGTCATCCGTCTCATTTTCTTGATTAGATTCGCCACCTAGTTCTACGACTAAATGTTCAAGTTCAGCATCTTCTTCAGTTGGAGTGTTTTGATCAATGCTAACATATTCATCTAAATTTTGATCGTTGGTAATGTTCAGCTCATTCGCAGCTCCGACCATCGTTGCGAAAACAGATAATGGCAAGTCATCCTCGGGATCAAAATGAGGAACCTCTTGCCCAGCTTTTCTGAACCCAGCTTTTCGAAAACAATTTTTTATCGTTCAGACTTTAAAGCCAGTGTCTTATCCGGAAGCGCACGACAATATAGACCGCTTTCGTCGGCATTGTAAATGTCTTCACAGTGGTATCCCAAAAGCAATGAAGGAAGTTTCTCTATAAATGCATCGACTGTCTTTTGATTTACATCGGCCGCTGCGCCAGAAATGCATTTAAAACTAACATTGTTTCTTTTACGCCACTTTTGAAGCCACCCATCGTTTGATAACCATATTTTTTGAAATTTGTTTTGCTCTTTCTTTTACAAGCCCCTCAG